GGACCACCGGTTATGACTCTTTTATGTTGGAAGACGTCACACTGCCAACCCTTACAGAACAGCTCAGTTTATCCATGGATTTCGTTTGGGTACGTTTTGCCAAATCCCCAGTTCTGTGTAGTTATGTGTGGTCCTTTATTTGTATTTCAGCTACAACTATCCACCAAAGTTAAAATGAAGTGGATGTAAGCAATTATAGGCAACCGTACTGCTTTCAACAATGAGAAAAACCCATACCGTATAGTCGGCTATAAAATGCCCCGAAATGAAAAATATGAAACAATTAAATTGAGAAAACTAACGACATTATATATAACAAAACAATTTATGAAAAACAAATATGACTGACATGAACCAACGACAACTACTGAACTACAGGCTCCTGACTTCGGACAGGCTAATAAAGAATGTGGCGGGGTTAAACATGTTTGTGAGCACTCAACCCTCCCTTAACCTGGGACAGTTGTGTAACAGCACAACATAAGAACAAACTATAAAAATCAGTTGAAAAAGGCACTCATCAGATCGATACAAAGAAAAACATCAAACAAAAACACAGATAGGACGTGGCAGGGTATATATCCATCCCTCATCACTAACAACAAAAAATGACACTAAGTACAAATCTGAGAGTACTCGCAGTTACTGACAGCTAGTTAATATCTAAGCCAATAACAACTAATAAAAAAATAATGTATCTAAGACTTAAATATCAATCAGTATACATTCAACATCCAATGGATTTAGTGTAAAGACGTCATAAACAGTCTGAGAAAAACATGACCTTGTGCAATGCCAAAACAGATTGTAGTGCCGTGAAAGTACATATGTGTGGTATTAAGTATGGTTTTAATTTACTGATATACATCATTTTCATGTAAACAGTGAAAACTGCACAGTTTATGCAGTTTTCTGTCAATATTTCCTTTGTGGAAACATCGTGCGAAGGCAAGAAACAACAATATAATTCAAGAGAACATATTTTAACAAAATATAAATTTGTTTCTTGGGTGCGCACATACCTTTCCAATCTAACATATACTTAAAATATGACATAAAACAAGGATAAGAAATTTTACAAAATATACACATTTTGTCATAGTTTTTTTTGCCATGGTAACTCATTAAATGTGAAATTTAAACACCTTGTAACTTATTGCAGTTAGGAAATTTTTTTGAATATGTATGGTAATTTTTACATTGCTTTAATATGTTTGCCAAATAAAGGCCTTAATTCCCCTACTCCTTTATTATAATTCAGACCGAACTTGTTATGTCTAACCAATGTTTTTTTCTAGAAAGTTTTTTCTTCAGAAAATGACAATAAACATGCAAAGAGAAGGGCAACTATTCTTTTAAAGCTTGTCTAATATAATTTAAAATGGGAAATACTGTTCACGTATGATACAGATACCGCAGAACGTTTTTATGAAAATCCTTCATCAATTACACTCAACAGCAAGAGTCCAAGGAGCCTAATTAACAACAGGAAACTTAATGGCATTAAATACACTCAACAGCAAGAGTCCAAGGAGCTTAATTAACAACAGGAAACCTAATGGCATCAAATACACTCAACAGCAAGAGTCCAAGGAGCCTTATCAACAACAGGAAACTTAATGGCATCAAATACACTCAACAGCAAGAGTCCAAGGAGCCTAATCAACAACAGGAAACTTAATTGCATCAAATACACTCAACAGCAAGAGTCCAAGGAGCTTAATTAACAACAGGAAACGTAAATGGTTCATATATATGTTCGTATAAGTTCTGAATAGTGTCTGAACTGAAAAAACTTTTCAAATATAACAGATTGTACAAACCTCTTTGTCAACACAGTCGCCTTCTGAATAAGTTGTTTCCTTTCGTTCCGTTGGTTGATAAAGCTCGACGTTCGATTTTGTCAGTGTTTATGTTGGATTTCCCCTCAAGTTGGAGTTCGCTTTTTTTGTTATATTTGTTTGACAGAATTAAGCGGGACTCAGTAAATACTTTGCCTTGCGTTTATTAGGAAATAAATCCTGACTTGAAATAATGATAAGCCCATTGAGTTTAATTGTACGTCTGACTTTATTTTCTGAAGAGATCATGTAATTTTCAATTTAATGCAATGTTCGAGATATCTGATTTGTCTGTATCCGGATATTTCCGCAGTTTGAGCCATAGAAAAGAAAAGTGCCGGAAATATAGAATATTTAAGATAAAACGTTACGTTATAATTAATTGTAAAGCTACAATTCAAACTGATGTTGAAGTGTTTAAATATCTTATATGTATGAGCCAATAAATCTTCGTGGCAAATACATAAACACATCGATTATATTTAACTATTACTCCTGTTACATTTTAGTTGTGCTTTCTTTCCATGTTAAATGGAAATTGTTTTTCGATCAATAAATTATTCAAGATTGAGAATGAAATCATGAAAATTTATGGAGTTCATGGGTAGAATATTGATATTTCTGTACGAAAATTGATGTATTTATGGAGTTCATGGGTAGAATATTGATATTTCTGTACGAAAATTGATGTATTTATGGATAGATTATTGAGACTTTTGTTCGAACATTGAACGAATCTTATAAATATTTTGACTTTTCGGTATATTTATAACTTGCGATTATTTCAAGAATTAAATACTTTTTAGGTGAGCCCGGCTTGCAATTATCGTTTATTAAAAATTCAAAGGCCGTTTGCCTTGCATTTAAACGTTGTCTTTGAAAGATTTGTTTATTCAACCAGTCGAATAAAATTTACTTAAAAAGTTAAAAAATAAAGTGAAAAAGATACCGATAAAAGTTGTAGCCCAAAGCATGATAGGTAAAGTGGCAACACTAAAGTGTACCATAGTATAAAAGAAAACGCAAATAACTTCATTTCACATATAATAACTGTCTCGTGTAATGGAACAAAATAACATTGCATTAATTCAGATATTACCAGAATGATGTTGTTTAACATGTAGTGTTCATTATTACAGACATAGTCATACAAGCAATCAAAACGACGACCCTTTAAAATCAACGCGATTTATTAGTGGAGTCAATTAGATTGAATCATTGATCGAAGAGGCTATTATGATAAAAGAAAAAAAAAACAAATTAACGTGAATAGAAAGGTAATTTTGAAGAAAAAAATCGAAAACTGTTAGAAAAGGTATCTATGATGAGAAATTAAGACTAAAATCATATACCATGTTTTGATTGATCACAAATTATTATTTAAAGATTTAATGAAGCTTCAAGGAATGTGGTGGTCTTCCATCTCACCATATTATGTCATTCAAAGCGTAGCTATAATGGCTAAATTCTGCATATTAACAAAATACTCTTTTTGGAGTAAAACAAATGATACAACGAATCGATTAAGTTACAAGAAAATCTAAATTTGGAGTTCGTGAGATTCTGATTGTTTTTTTACTTCCATATTTGTCTTGTTGCTATGTTTCAACTGACGTCAGTGTTTAACTTACATACTGAACATCACGGAGTCTGGATCTCTGCTGATGTAAAACTTTGGCACCGAAGATCCCATCAACCCTGTACCTTTTGACAAGACCAAACATAGTATCGCAAAAGTTATACTAATCGCCAAGTATAAAATGGGGGAACAGTGTTGTCAAGGACACAATCAATTAGAGTAGATCAGGTACCACGAAAGCCCCGAAAATTGGTATCAAACGAATAATAATGAATCACAGTTTATGGTGAAACAGCTAAACAGATTTACGAATTACTAGTCAAAACAGTTACAGTTGATTTCGTATCAATTTATAAAGATTGTGACGGATAACAACTAAATAGGTGTTGTAGAGGCCATGTTGGTGCATCTCCTAGGAAGACCTCCAGAATGGTTTATGTTGGAAAAAGTAGGGTGGGTGGGTTGTTAATTTTCATTAAAATGTATTTTTGATTTATTGAGTTTTCAGGCGAAAGGTATCATCCCCCTCCATAAGAAATTGATTGTAGTATTTTCTTATTTTTTCCCCAATATTCCAAGTATCACAACCCCGATTATGCATATTTTGTCGATTTGACAACTTTATTTTTTAAGCTTGTAAAGTCCAACGAGATAAAAAATATTCTTAAAAATGGCTTTAAACTGAAAGTTTTATAGATTATGTCATATTCGTGTATTTAGTTAAAAAACGCACAAAAGACAGACATTTCAAACCAAGCCAAAACCAACATTCTGTGGGACTAAAACTATGTCTAACCTTTAAGATATAGCCAAATTCACTTTGACACCAGATGTTCGTTGATACAAAGTTTTACTAGAAACGTTTTAAATCTGGAATAACGTTTCAAAATTATACTTTACAAAAATGTAAAGCACTCAATGATTTATTTCACTTTTACGGATATAAAAAAGGTTGAAAGTTTTATCAATATTACATAAAACGAAAACAAGAATTACCAAAAATATTGTAAAGTACCAATGACCACACCAACCACCAACATCTAACTGCTCCTTGAAAATAGACGTACAAACAAAACGACAAGAAGCTAGCCAAGGTATAGCCATAACGATTGATTGAACACTGCTGCTGGATCAATAACAGCACTAATGGAAGGTCCATGAAGTCTCATCATTGAATTGAACTGAAATCGATGTAGTATTTGTTAGAGAAAGTAAAATTTAGAATCGTCAGAAATTCCAAGACATCACCAGATTTTAACAAAAATAATTGATTTAAGTGTTTCGATATAGATTAATGCAATGTTTGAAAAAAAAAGTTCACTTTTCACAAGAACGGATAGTATAGTATTCATTTATATTCTTTAATACTCTTATCTCATTTAGTTTCAGCAACTCTCCAAGTTAAATAGATACAAAGTAAATTATATCTCGTTTCTTTGTATTTCTTTTATTACGCTATGAAGACTTTAAGTTCAAGTGTTTATTGAAACAACAACCTTCACATTTCCGATTTTTGTACACACCACAAATGACGATCTAAACAAATATTCTCATACTTCCGTTTTTTATATATTAAACTTTCATTGTTGAACTGGCGTAGAAAGGATCAACTAAAGCCTAAAGTATGATTTTTTTGCACACTCTTTTCTTTTGGATACTGATGGTATGTACTATTAGGTCATTGCATTTCGTAAACTTGGTCAGTGTAACTTTTTTTATTTGAAATAATGTATAAGAAAATTTAAAATACGGTCATAAATATGCTCGGAATCTTCTTGTTCAATATCTGGGCTACAATGCAAAAGTTTTAAATGATTATTAGGTTCTGAAGATCAAATAATAGACTTTGAGTTAACGGTTAAACATAATAATTATATTTATCTGTAATGAAAGTGCTTAAACGATGTGTATGGTCAATTTACAGGATGATCTAATTTACATTTATTACATTACGTAGGATATATTTTACGTCCATCATCTTTTTAGCTCACCTGGCCCGAAGGGCCAAGTAAGCTTTTCTCATCACTTGGCGTCCGTCGTCCGTCGTCGTCGTTAACTTTTTACATTTTGAACTTCCTCTAGAGAACCACTGAATGGAATGAAACCAAACATTGCATGAATGTTTCTTATGAGGTGCTGACCAAGTGTTGTTACTTTGTAGCGGATCCATCATCCAAGATGGCCGCCAGCAGGGGGACTTAGTTTAACATAGGACCCTATGGGAAATACATACAAATGTCTTCTTTTAGAGAACCACTGAATGGAATGAAATCAAACATGGCATGAATGTTCCTTATGAGGTGCTGACCAAGTGTTGTTACTTTGAAGCTGATCCATTATCCAAGATGGCCGCCAGCGGGGGGACTTAGTTTAACATAGGACCCTATGGGAAATACATACAAATGTCTTCTTTTAGAGAACCACTGAATGGAATGAAACCAAACATGGTATGAATGTTCCTTATGAGGTGCTGACCGAGTTTTGTTACTTTGAAGCCGATCCATAATCCAAGATGGCCGCCAGCGGGGGACTAAGTTTAACATGGGACCCTATGGGAAATACATACAAATATGTATACTAAAGAAATTTATCCTGTTGAACTTACTTTAAATAAAGCTAATACTAACAATGACCACTGCCCTTTCCTCGATCTTGATATCTATATCATTAACGGAAAGCTTAATACTAAAATATATGATAAAAGAGATGATTTTTCATTTCCTATCGTTAATTATCCATTTTTAGATGGTGACGTTCCCTTGTCACCATCTTACGGTGTTTATATATCTCAACTTGTAAGATTCGCTCGTGTATGTAACAATGTTTTAGATTTTAACGAGAGAAATGTATGTATTACTGAAAAATTATTACACCAGGGTTTTCGATATCACAAACTAGTCAAAACATTTACTAAATTTTATCATCGGTATAAGGACATCATTCGTAAATATAGCTCAACATGCAGACTTCTTATACGTTCAGGTATTTCACATCCAATTTTTTATGGAAATATTCTTTATAAAGCACAAAAATGTCAGTATTCACCTCTGAAACTAACAAAACCTTTAAATAGACTTATTAAGAAGGGATATAGTTACGATACTGTTGTCAGGTCATTAAAGATTGCATATTTTGGCGTTGATATTGATTCACTTATAGGGTCTTTGCATCTGCACTAAACACATTTATTTAAAAACCAGTTGTTGGCATGACACGGGTTATGTTCTTCTCATATATGTTATGATGGTATGATACTAAACCCCTAACGGGAAGGATTGTGCCTGATATTCATATGATGAAGACATAATCTTTCAATCAGTTTAATTGAAGTCTGGAGCTGGCATGTCAGTTAACTGCTAGTAGTCTGTTGTTATTTATGTATTATTGTCATTTTGTTTATTTTCTTTGGTTACATCTTCTGACATCAGACTCGGACTTCTCTTGAACTGAATTTTAATGTGCGTATTGTTATGCGTTTACTTTTCTACATTGGCTAGAGGTATAGGGGGAGGGTTGAGATCTCATAAACATGTTTAACCCCGCCGCATTTTTGCGCCTGTCCCAAGTCAGGAGCCTCTAGCCTTTGTTAGTCTTGTATTATTTTTAATTTTAGTTTCTTGTGTACAATTTGGAGTTTAGTATGGCGTTCATTATCACTGAACTAGTATATATATTTGTTTAGGGGCCAGCTGAAGGACGCCTCCGGGTGCGGGAATTTCTCGCTGCATTGAAGACCTGTTGGTGGCCTTCTGCTGTTGTCTGTTCTGTGGTCGGGTTGTTGTCTCTTTGACACATTCCCCATTTCCATTCTCAATTTTAAATGTCATCTTTTAGAGAACCACTGAATGGAATGAAACCAAACATGGCATGAATGTTCCTTATGAGGTGCTGACCAAGTGTTGTTACTATGAAGCCGATCGATAATCCAAGATGGCCGCCAGCAGGGGACTTAGTTTAACATTGGACGCTATGGGAAATACATACAAATGTCTTCTTTTAGAGAACCACTGAATGGAATGAAACCAAACATGGCATGAATGTTCCTTATGAGGTGCTGACCAAGTGTTGTTACTATGAAGCCGATCGATAATCCAAGATGGCCGCCAGCAGGGGGACTTAGTTTAACATTGGACGCTATGGGAAATACATACAAATGTCTTCTTTTAGAGAACCACTGAATGGAATGAAACCAAACATGGCATGAATGTTTCTTATGAGGTGCTGACCGAGTGTTATTACTTTGAAGCCGATCCATAATCCAAGATGGCCGCCAGCAGGGGACTTAGCTTAACATGGGAACCTAAGAGAAATACATACAAATGTCTTCTTTTAGAGAACCACTGAATGGAATGAAACTAAACATGGCATGAATGTTCCTTATGAGGTGCTGACCGAGTGTTGTTACTTTGAAGCCGATCCATAATCCAAGATGGCCGCCAGCGGGGGACTTAATTTAACATAGGACCCTATGGGAAATACATACAAATGTCTTCTTTTAGAGAACCACTTAATGGAATGAAACCAAACATGACATGAATGTTCCTTATGAGGTGCTGACCAAGTGTTGCTACTATGAAGCCGATCCATAATCTAAGATGGCCGCCAGCGAAGGACTAAATTTAACATAGGACCCTATGAGAAATACATACAAATGTTTTCTTTTAGAAAACCATTGAATAGAATGAAACCAAACATGGCATGCATGTTCCTTTTGAGGTGCTGACCAAGTGTTGTTACTTTGAAGCTGATCCTTCATCCACGATGGCCGCTAGATGAGGACAATGTTTAACAAAGAACCCTATGGACAATACATACAAATGTCTTCTTTTAGAGAACCACATACTGAATGGATTGAAACCAAACATGGCATGAATGTTCCTTATGAGGTGCTGACTAAGTTTTGTTACTTTGAAGCTGATCCTTCATCCATGATGGCCGCCAACGGGGGGACTTCCTTTAACATAAGACCCTATGGGAAATACATACAAATGCTTCTTCTAGAGTTGCACTGAATGGAATGAAACCAAAACATGGCATACATGTTTCTTATGAGGTGCTGATGAAGTTTTGCTACTTTGTTGCCGATTTACTGTTCAAGATGGCCACCAGGATTTTTTTTATTAAATTACAGGACCAATATTAAACCAAATTTGGTCTCACTCATTATTAGGGTATCTGTTATGATTTTAATCTATTTTTACATGATTTCCAAAACCAAAGTAGAATCAGGTGAGCGACACAGGCTCTTGAGAGCCTCTAGTTTTTTATATTATTGTTAACTTTTGTACCAAAAATTCAATAGGTTTTAATGAACAATTTATGTTTCCTGGACTTTCAGTGACATATATTCCCCGTACAGTAACCAATTATTATACAATAAAAAGCATTCGGGTATTGAAATTGATTGGACGACAGGAATATTAGAAGCCAACGTTGGCAGGCTCAGGAAATTTGCTTTTGAAGATGCCATCAAGGAACCTTTTTATTTATGAAAAGTTGTTAACATCTCACTAGCGAGTGGCACTCTCCCAATTTGGAGCGTCAGATTAAGAAAGGCCGAAGATACCAAGGAGATATTCAAAACTCATAAATGGAGAGAAACTGATAACGCCATGGCAATAAAACGAAAGACAACGAAAAGACAACAAGTTGACCAAAACGCTACATAGAAAACTAAAGAATGAGCAGCCCGAACCCCATCAAGAAAACTTAGGGTGATCTCAGGTGCTTCAAAAAGGGACACATATCAGAGGAAAAGAGGACGCGACTGTGGTTACTACAATTGGAACATTTCCGTTGTCGTTTGTGCCACAGATATTAAGGGTTTCCGTTTTCAACCAGACGTAACTACGTATTTATTCATTATACAAAATCGAAAGGCCATTCCTCTTACTAAAGTTCCAACCGGCGCTCTACGACAGAGATACAGGTAGCACAACTGTTTAAAACTTTTCAGTAGTGATCACTAGTCTGTCAACTCTAAAACTGAGTTCGTACTCTGCTCGAGGCCAGATGTTTTCGACTCTGATTGCCTAATTCCTGCCGAAGGTCGGTTTCCTCTCTGGGTACTCCTGCTTCCTCCGTCATAAAAACTGGTCACCATGATATAGGGAAGGTCACTGAAAGTTTTTGAAACAGTCATGCCTATAGCATGGTCACAAACATAAACCTACATCTTTACACCTGCCACCCTAGTTGTTCACAGAAAGATAAAAATAATGCAATCCCGAAAGGTATATTAGCTTTTAATTATCATATATTTACAGTATTTGTTACAAAAGGTATGATTGGCAATGGGATAACTATCCACTAGAGACGAAAGAAGGTTGATGCACGCAACTATAATAGTTCACCGTACTGCCTTCGATATAAGCAAAACCCACACCGTGTAGTAAGCTATACAAAGCCCCGGAATGACAAAACAATGCAGACGAAAAAGCCAACGGCCTGACATTTAAAAAAAATAAACGAAACACAGCAACCAATGACAATCACTGAATTAAATGCTTCCGACTTTGGACAGACACATAACGAATTTGATGGGGTTAAACATGTTTTTGAGCGCTCAATCCCCCTGACCTGGCAAATTGGTGTAACAGCACAGTGTAAGGACAAACTGAAAAAATCGGTTAGAAAGGACTTGACTCATCAGATTGGCACGAAGCACAAATACAACAAAATAAAAAGACAAAGGACGCGAAATAACGATCTTAGAGTACTCACAGATACTAAAAGATAGTTAACCCCAATTTCCAACTAATTAATACATAAAATTGAGAATGGAAATTGGGAATGTGTTAAAGAGACAACAACCCGACCAAAGAGCAGAAAACAGCCCAAGGCCATCAATGGATCTTCAACACAACGAGAAAATCCTGCACCGGGAGGCGGTCTTCAGCAGGCCCCTTAACACAAATGTGTACTAGTTCAGTGAAAATGGACGCCACACTAAACTCCGAAACATATAAATGAACTCAAATTAAAAAAAACACACACAAGACTAACAAATGCCAGAGACTCCTGACTTGGGACTGGCGAAAAAATGCGGCGGGGTTAAACATGTTTAGTGAGATCTCAACCCTCCCCTATACCTCTAGCCAATAATGTTTTCCAAGGCAAAAATATAAATAACTATATATCTAATAGATTTAGCTTAAAGACGTCTTAAACAATCAGGGAAAAGCATGACCTTGTGCAATTGTATCGACGGGATGTAGAACAATAAGTTTTCATAACTGTATAACAACACATATTTAGTCATGTTTTAATTTACTTCACCAAAACGTATCTAAATTCATTTGTCGTAATTTTATCAAGAAAAGTACAAATTGATTAAGCAAACTTAGTTCCTGCCACATGTGGAGCAGGATCTGCTTATCCTTCAGGAGCACCTGAGATCACCCCCAGTTTTTGGTGGGATTGGTGTTGCTCAGTCTTAGTTTTCTATGTTGTGTTTTGTGTACTATTGTTTGTCTGTTGGTCTTTTTCTTTTTTAGCCTTGGCGTTGTCAGTTTGTTTTCGACTTATGATTTTGAATGTCCCTCTGGTATCTTTCGCCTCTCTCTTCTACCTGATCTCAGTTTTCCATAATATTCAACTTCAATAACTGTATTTTCAGTTGTATTACTTCATATTATGTTTTTTTTTTATTCTGAGAAAATAGTGTCGATGGCTGATCTGTTATAGTCTACCATGCCATTGTATAAGTATCGACAGTTGTACTAAATTAATTGTGTTCCTGTCTTTGTTGTCTCTTTGACGCTTATTTCCTTTCATTTATAATTTTTGGCGTGTTTGACTAGGAATGAAGGACAAAGCCTTCACCCCGTACTTTCTCCATCGCAAATAATTCTGCCTTGCTATTTCAATATTTCCTCTTCTTTCATCATCAAGTCAATTGTTTTTTTAAAATATTAAGAAAAAATGCTGACAATATTAATACAACCATTTTTAGCGGACAGTATTAAAAAATTTTATTGTAAAGGATAAGCCCTTACCAAACTTTAATCTTGTCATTATCCGAATGAATAGAACTTTAATCAATTAATATGTAGGACTCAAATCTATGGTGGGTTCCAAATCTATGGCAGATTCCTAATCTATGGCAAATATGACGTCATGATATCCCAAATCTATGGCAGATTTTTTACAATCCTAATCTATGGCAAGTTTTGTAGTTTCCTAATCTATGGCAGATTTTTGTTGTTTCCAAACCTATGGCAAATTTTGTTCAAATGGAAAACAATGCAGTACATATACTACCAATGACTTGTCTTAAACCAGTGGACATGTACGACAACGGGAGCAAATCGTGATTGCAAACAAAACATTTCGTAAATGATGAATCATATAACTTAATACAGACTTCAAGATTGAAATGATGTGCCCCGTAAAAATAATTTTTTTTTAATCCGTGCATAGTACCTGTTTAACCCATTCGTTAAACCAACTAGTAATTCCCTTAACAAACAAGAAGGCAGGTTTTTATAAAAAAAAATATATATAAATAAAATTGAACAGTTTGAATTTTCACCTATGTTATTTCACCGTTAATACTTTTTTTTTATTTGATGGCGATTTAAATCAAATTGGTATCTGGTAATTTAATCTTTCAATTAATAAACTTTGCCAGCCGTAAAATATTTATTATAACTCCTTTTCTAAAATATCCGGTACTGAAAACAGCGGTGTCCTTATTCATTACGGGCTTTGGCCGGTACAGCACATTTTGTCCCTCTTTCGGATAATAGGTCACATCTTCCTTTAAACCATCCGCATATTGTTTAAAAATGTTCAAATCTATGGGTTCCGCCATCGTAAGCGGCGGCGACGATGTAATATGGCGTTATTCAATTGTGACGTTATGAAAAGATCTGCCATAGATTTGGAGAAAACAAAAATCTGCCATAGATTTGATTTGTTTGACGTTTGCAACGTCACATTTGCCATAGATTAGGAATCTGCCATAGATTTGGAACCCACCATAGATTTGAGTCCTACAAATATAAGTTTGATTATCTACTCTAATTGAAGTTAATCTCCTGCAAAAAGTAAAATAACAAAAATACCGAATTCCGAGGAAAATTCAAAACGAAAAGTCCGTAATCAAATGGCAAAATCAAAAGCTCAAACACATCAAACGAATGGATAACAACTGTCATATTCCTGACTTGGTACAGGCATTTTCTTATGTAGAAAATGGTGGATTAAACATGGTTTTATAGCTAGCTAAACCTCTCACTTGTATGACAGTCGCATAGAATTCCATTATATTGACAACGATGTGTGAACAAAACAAACATACATAATAGGAAAAAATGTCAAAAATAGGGGTACATCAGTCAACGTTGTGTTATAATCTTAATCACTTTAAAAACAAACAAATATGTAACAAAGAAACACAAAAAGGCATATAGACATAGCACATTAGCAAAAATGAAAGACAAGAATACAAAAATTTACCACAGCACAATAACACAATGACGGGATGTATAAGTACAGACCCACCAAATGGATATCACCAAAAATAGACTAAACAGTAAAAGTTATATCCATAAAGACAAATAAAAGAATACTATAACACGTTATTAAGATGATAAACAACGTCAGTACCCAGAATCTATACTTCAAGACCATCGTGTATTATTTGTGAAGTTGATACGGAATATTTAGCAACAAGGTCTTGGTATCTCCCGATGAACTTTTTTAGAAAAAGGACGAGACGTTCTTTGACATACCCCTGGTTCATCAACTTTCTACTCAGACACTGGTGACGTTTTACAAAGTCTGAGTAGCAGCTGCAAGCTCTTGAATACCGAATCAGTTGGGAAATATATATCCCATGTGCAGGTTAAGTTGGTATATTGATACTAAGGTGGGGGAGACATGTTAATCATTTTCTAGTTTTCAAACAGAAAAAGAAAAAAAAAAACGTGTTCATAATCAAAGTAACTCGCCTCCATCTGAAACCATCCCTTTCTATTTTAGTTCAAACCATTATTGAAAGTCTTTTCACTAATATTTGTTTGCTTTTTTTCCAAAAAGATATACATATTTTGTAGAGTTCGATGAAGCCTGTGACTGCTTTTTATCCAGGTAAGTTTAAAATAAACAGAACTTCTGGATGGCACATCTGACTAGATTTTTTTTCTTTTTCTCAGTTTTTATAAAACAGTAAACTTTTTCAACAGTTATAAGGTGAAATTTTCACCTACAAATGTTTTGATGACCAGTTTAAATCGACATTACAAATAAAGTGCATTAGAATACTAGTAGTATTTTGACAATCGTAATTTTTTTTCTGCCCGATAACATTTTTTAGCACGGTGATAAGACTTAATTATGAAAATTAGTCGACAGACCTACCTGACAGCTGATTTTGGACTTATTTTGAAGATATAAATACAGTTCATTTCCATTAAGGGCATACGATACAGTTTTGATCCCACAGTGATTTTTTTACGAAAATTTGCATACAAGCTATTTTTCACCTAGTCCATTCAAATATGTTATAAAAAATATACCTTCATGTGCTACTTTAAGAGATAAATGGGGTCGAAATTTTAGACATTTACTCAAAATTTCGGTTTTTTGGACATTTCTATCCTTTGGATAGACATACCTAACTTTTTTGTTTCAAAAGATAAACACACTCGGATTTTTGTAAAACCATTTGGAAAATCTTCTTAACATAAGTATGATCTAAATTTGTATAACAATTTTTTGGAAATAATTAATTTTTTATCAAAGTTTCATGATTTTAGAAAAAAAAACGGCAATTTTTGCTGTATATCTATTTGATTTTAAAAAAATTCATCGGTGACTTTTTCATAAAAATTGGTACAAATAATCTTCATACATAATCAAACCTAATTTCATTTTAAAAAAGAGGGGTCCATGAATTCGTTTTTCAAGATAAATCAGTCTGAATGATAAAAATCAGTCAGTCGAAAAATGCATCTTTTCCCGATATGTCACAGTTTGGCGTCGCGAAAATAACATTTTACGTTAGCAACGTCATTATCTCTCCTGTAACTGTATCGTATGCCCTTAAAACCAGCTGTGAAGTTCGGATTGCCAGAAATAGGTGACATATGCGTCCGCCACTAAAATGTGAGAAAATGACAAAAACTATCTTCATCCAATCAAATTTTTCTTTTAAATTTTAAATTTAGATATGCAACAATTTTTTAAAGCATATATAGACAGTTGTAGGAAAGTTCGGTTAACATGCAACGAATTACAGAGTGGAAACGATTACAGTAATATTAACACCCGATCGAAGTTTTAATTGAAAATCATAAAACGGCAAAAAGATGACATATATAGCAATTTCTTAGCTAAAATCGATTGAAAAGCTCGAAAAAAAAAATGGATTTACAAACAAAACATGAACCTTGTCACCAACCATGTCAAGTTCGGAGACTGATGACAGTTTGTGTTGTTTTTTGTTTTTTGTTTGTCTTTTGTTTTATTTTTAGTGAGAGAGTACTCCAACCCATAGGTGTCAGTTAGAGGCCATTCGGAGTAAAACATATACAATATTGAGCATTAACATGAATATTTATAAACAGAGAATATTATATGTTTTTTTCAATATCGCACCAGTATCAACCCGAGAGGACTCCAATGTAATCCAAAGAGCTCTGCTCGATGGATTATTTTGGTTGAGGGTAGAAACGGTAGATGATATTCAAAAAGCCATATCATATTCACTTTATCATATACCTCAAGATGATTTTCACGCGTAACGTCATGCAGATTAGTGATTTGATATAGCCTGCAACCAGAAATGAACGAAGCATGAGCCCTTAAAAAAGACTCATGCCTTTGCCTAAAATTAAATTTTAAAAAGGTCCCCCCACCTAAACAACACAACACAACACAACACAACACAACACAACACAACACAACACAACACAACACAACACAACACAACACAAGAAAATTAGAAAACATAAGATTTTCTTTGAAATGTTAAAAATTGATTTTCAACAAAAACATCGTTAAGTAGCAATTCTTCACCAAATAAATATTAATCCACGAAGTACCATGAAATGTTAGTCGAAATAATTATGACGTCTTGAAAGGCTATTTCACAACAAAAAATTAAAATAGCCTTTCTAAACGTCATAATTATTTGGACTCCATAAGATGTATTATATTTCTTAACAACACCATAATTTTACAAAGTTTGGTCAGTTATTGGTAGATCGTCGTTATGGATTTAACATATCGTTTTGCAACGTTGATCTATCTACTGATAAAACTTCGGTTGAGGTCGATTTCGTCAACTGAATTCTAGCAGTTAAGACCATTTAATCTCTTAAAATAATTTGTTATGCTTTCAATTTTAGCGAATAATTATTTTCTAGAGATGATAAGCTATTGTCGTGTACTTCAGAAACAAGGTTGCGGGACGACCACGCCCCCTCAGTGGGGACACACAAAATAAAGATGACCGTTCTCCATTTCTACTCGATCGAATTGGGCATTTTTTTCATAACATATACATCACTATCCTTACTTAATCATGATTTTACTTTACCAATGGATGTTGGATGTGTACTGATTGATATTTTTGATACACGCATGATTATTTTCATTAGTTGTTATTGGCTTTGAACTAGCTGTCAGTAACTGTGAGTACTCTTAGATCTGTACTTAGTGTCTTTCTGTAATGTGGATGTATAAGTACCCGTCCACGACCACTCTGTGTTTTTGTTAGATGTACTTCTATATGTATCCATCTGATGAGTAAAGCCTTTTTCAACTGATTTTTATAGTGTGTTCTTATGTTGTACTGTTACACCAATGTCCCATGTTATGGGGAGGGTTTTGCGCCAACAAACTAGTGTAACCCCGCCACATTATGTATGTGCCTGTCCCAAGTCAGGAGCCTGTAATTCAGTGGTTGTCGTTTGTTGCTGTGTAACATATTTGTTTTTCGTTCCTTATTTTGTACATAAATTAGGCCGTTAGTTTTCTGGGCAATACTTCCATTTAAACCCCTCTTACCTGTATCAGTGTGTATGCTGCTTATAACGCAAACCAGGGTGTTCAAATGGAAGTTTTCCCGACAGCATTTTGTCAGAGACAAGTGCCTGTGAAAATAAGATAAAATAAAATATACACAATATAACACATACTGAAAAAAGACGGTTTGGAATTGGCAAGAACTGGCACAGGTAAATTTACTACGATAATGAATCAAGTAAAAATGCAAGCCCTTTCAGCGAGTATAACGGGCTGAAGCCGAAGGCAGATGATCTATAACACATCTTTTGACATGTTATTAAATTCAACAAATGATCCTGACAATTATACAACGATTGGTATTACAAGGCATTAAGGATTCACAATGCGCGATGGCAGTGAACTGAAAACAATTTCGCATTCAATTTGGTGATAATAACTATTTCAGAAATTGGATAAGAGACAACGCCCGCGCTGTAACCATGGTTAAGCATTATTAAGGTCAAAAGGTTACCAAGTCAAAACAATACAGATTGCGTAGGAAAAAATGCCACATGCATTCGAAAATCAACCAATTGATTCAATATGTACTTAGTTTTCGATGTTAAACGATGATACATTGTGGGGTCATTTTCTAGCAAAATATTGCTGAGATTATCATTCGGAAATTTTTTACAAGTGTTCCCGTGTGCAAAAATGAAAACGAAAAAAAAAGTTGAAAGACACACTTTATCGCGAATTAACAAAAAATCTGCGACAGAAGAAAACTCTACGACAGGAACAGTGCTTAATTTATAGTATATTTGAATATAAAAATAAGAAGATGTGAAATGATTGCCAACGAGACAACTCTCCACAAGAGACCAAATGACACAGAAATTTAACAACTATAGGTCATCGTACGGCCTTCAACAATGAGCAAAGCCCATACCGTATAGTCAGCTATAAAAGGCTCCGAAATGACAAATGTAAAACAATTCAAACAAGAAAACTAACGGCCTAATTTATGTACAAAATAATGAACGAAAAACAAATATATTCCACAGCAACAAACGACAACCACCGAATTACAGGCTCCTGACTTGGGACAGGCACATACATAATGTGGCGGGGTTAAACTAGTTTGTTGGCGCCAACCCTCCCCAACCTGAGACAGTGGTGCAGCGGCACAATACAAGAACAAACATTACAAAACAAAAAACGAAAGACAGCAAAAAAGTACAGCCGATCAATTACAGGCTCGTGACTTGGGACAGGCACATATAGAATGCGGCGGAGTTAAACTCGTTTGAAGGCGCCAACCCTCCCCTAACCTGGGACAGTGGTGTAACAGTACAACATAAGAACAAACTATAAAAATCACTTGAAAAAGGTTTAACTCATCAGATGGATACAAATAGAAATACATATAACAAAAACACAGAGTGGACGTGACGGGCACTTATCCATCCACACAACAGAAAGATTCTAAGTACAGATCTGAGAGTACTCGCAGTTACTGACAGCTAGTTCAAAGCCAATAACAACTAATGCAAAACAGCATGCATCTAAGACTATAATATCAATCAGTTCACAACCAACATCCAATGGATTAAGTGTAAAGACGTCATAAACAGTCAGAGAAAAACATGGCCTTGTGCAATGCCAAGATACAGGTATCGACATATCGTAGAGCCATGCATGTGCATATGTATATAAAAAAAATATTTAGTTTGATTTAAATTAACTGATAACAAAATCAATATTAGTAGCAATAAAAACAATATTCAAAGACCAAATTACAGTTTTGAATTGGTAATCCTTTAGAATAAGTTATTTATAGGATCAATAAGTTTACCCGGATCGTTTACAAATTTCCGGGCTCGGTAAACAACATCTCCATTAAAATTGAGGATGTGCTATCCCGTTTGAAATAAGTTTTTACAGATACAACCAAACTTCAAAAACAAATCTTTATATCTATGGAAAAATTTATTAAGGTTTTAAGTAAATTGTGGTAACGAAATCCCTGACCTAATAATTTACCAGTAATACATAGATTAAGTTCATTGAAATCCAAAACGTTACAACAGACAAGGGCATAGCGAACGAATTGTGATATATAACCACCGTAAGATGGTGACAAAGGAACATCACCGTCCAAAAAAGGAAAATTAACAATAAAGAACGAAAAATCGTCCCTGTCGTAAATTTTAGTGTAGAGTTTCCCGTGTAAAACTGAAATATATAAATCTAGAAAAGGACAGTTATTACCGTATTAAAAGTAAGTTCTTTTTGGTAAATTTCGGCAGTATATTTAAAAAATTCTTGATTATTTAACGAAAAAATATCATCAAGATAACGATAAGTGTTGTTGAATTTATCAATTATTAAATGCAATTTAGACGGGTCTTTACTGAGTTTGGTCATAAACTGTGATTTATAACAGTACAAGAACAAGTCTGCTATTAAAGGGGCGCAATTGGTTCCCATAGGAATACCTACAACCTGTCGATAAACTCTATTGCCGAAACGTACATAAATATTTTCAAGGAAAAAATTACCAGCTTCAATCATCTCATCACACCTCTAGTAAGTATATCTAGCATATTTACCTTTCTCATTAGAGAAGAAGGCTGTAAATGAGTTGCATTGTTGCATATTGTTTACTCTATACTTATATCAATTTTCAAACTCTAAAAAATAAGCGAGTTTTTCTTGATTTGTCACTCGACTATAATCTTTTGTTTGTAGATGGTTGACCTGTTTTTTCAACCGTTTGATTCTGTATTTCTTGAAAAAAATCATTTATTTTAGTAGGGAAATGAAACAAATAAGTTTATTTTCTATTGAAAATAACTACTGATAATGAATCATTATTGATTCCTTTCAAACATTTCCTTTGATTAAAATTGAAAGAAATTGTTTGACCCTGGAAAAAAAATTTAATGCCCAGATACAAAATCTATTTTCTTGATCAATATACATTTGTACAAATTAAAATCTGGATCTGACTCAAATATTTCAAGAATTGCAGATTTAAGTCTCGTACATACAGACATAAGACTAAACCAATTTAAATGCCACTGAGAGTCGATATCGAGGCCATATCCTCTGGACTAGTAAACACAATTTTATTCTGATCCGCAGACGATGCATGTTACTAACTCTACCAATATAATAAAGCACCTACAACTTTTCCCGAGAAAAATAAAACACATCGATAAGAGACTAAAACGGCCTGACTTATGCTAGAAGCAATGACCGAAAAACAGAAACGGCAAATAGCAACGAACAACAGTCAGCGAATTAGAGATTGGGATTGACGTATAAAGAATTTGTCTCGAGAAAAAACGTTTGTCAGCGCTCAACCCTCCCCTAAACTGGGACCGTGATGTAACAATACAACATAAAAACAACCTATATAAAAATCAGTTGGAAATGAAATTTTAAAAACAAACTCTATCTTAAGACCAATTAAGACACTATTTAATGATCTTGCAACAGTGTTAAATTGGTAACCTTTGAACATGCATATATTTCTATATACACAAGTCTAAATTGAAAACAACGTTCAAACCTATGATTGCGTTGGATAAAAACCACAATTTTTATACGTGTGCATGCAAAACAAATTTCTTGGTAGAGGGGTCTAAATACAGCACAAACAACATTTTCCAAAAGAGAGAATGCAACGTTCTCTGTACGTTTAATGACTATTACAGCAACTCTTCATAGGTGGACTGTAACAGGCAAAATGTCTACCGCTATCCAATATGCCCTCATTTTCAAATGACAGTCTAAATTTTCCGCCCTTCATACTAATCGACACATTCTACAAAGACTTCATATTAGATTTATTGTTTACTAGTCTCGGAAAAACTATGTATGGCATATTTGTCACTGTTTGTATTGTAGAAACTATACCATGCGGTAAAAACATCACCAATGCTGGTGGCGAACTAACCATCCCTAATTCATTGGGTTCTTGTACGTGGCGGCTCATCAGACCTAATGGACAGAAAATATTCTTGAGCGTAATAGACGATCATTTCTGTTGTTATGATATTGTGGTAAGTTAAACTTTTAAAACCTTGAAGTAAATATTACAAGTTTGAAATAAACGAAAAAAATAATTAGAAATAAACTCCAAAGATGTATACTAGTAGTCCATTTAATAACTAAAACAAAGTCATAGTTCCAGTCAAAATCTTGAATTTGACATCGGCGTCTTTGTTAGATTTATTTGTATGTTTGTTTGAATATTTTAGTCTGTTGTGTTGTATGTCTGTGATAAATGTTTACACAGTTTTGACTGCTGGATCTCAATTATTGTGATATTAACCTATTATTGTCTGTTTGGGTTGCCCACCAAATTTTGAAACTATGTATTGAAACAACTGCCATACAAGTGGGAGGTTAAGCTAGCTATAAAACCAGGTTGAACCTAGCATAGACACTGATGAAAATGTTTTACACTTGAAGCGTGTGTCTTTTATCAAATGTATTCATAATAAAGTTTCTCTTTTTTAAGGTATACAATGGTAAAATAGATACTGAATTTATAATTTTCAACGGATCAATAAACGCTGGAAATAACAATATACCATCTATAATACACATCAATGTAAGCAAAGCTATAATTACCTTCAGAATGCATAATTTATTGTTACAAGAGACGAGGGGAATATTGTTGCGGTATTATAGCGCAGGTAAGTGCAAGGAGCATCATCTATAAGTCAACAGTTAATAAGGTTTAAGCATATTATGATATAATACAACCGAAATGTAATTTAATATTATTTGTAGCTTCTTGTAATGCTTTGTTTCCTGGCTGATCACTGCTTATTTAAGTCACACGTGGGGCAGGATCTGCTCACCCTTCCGGAGCGCATGAAATCACTCCCGGTTGGTTGAGTTCGTGTTGCTCAGTCTTTGGTTTTCTATGGGGTTAATTTTATACTATAATTTGTCTTTTGATCGTTTTTTGCCATAGCAATGTCAGTTTTTTGGGGTTTTTTTTTACAAATGAGTTTGAATGTCCCTTTGGTATCGTTCACATCTCTTTTAAATGTGGTTATCGTCGTTTAATGGGTTTGATATCAATTATGTTTTTTGTCAGCATGGTACGCATTCTTTCAGAGAATATCCGATTAGGTTGATTTTTATTTGTTTTTATATATTTTTGCAACAGACTTACATGTAAGCAATTTATGTTTACCGTAGAATTCAATGACTTCTTAAACTCACGTATGACTCTCATGCATTTGGCTGGCCAAAACAACCGTCCGTTGACTAAGCAATGACAGTTCAACGTAGCATGTCAAATATTGCTGAAGACTGTTTTTATATTTGTTGGTGGTTTGCTGTTCATTGACATTTCCACACTTTATATTTTATTCATATTGAATGGACAGTAAATTGTTTCTAATTTCTGTTTTCAACCACTTAGACAATCGAGTCAATGTATATACTAGTAGTATAATCAACTTGTAGTTTTGCTTTGAACTGAAAAAGGGAAAATGCATTGTTTATATTATTTTTCAACAATGTCGTAAATATAAGTAAAATCAGGGTTTTGTCCAGTTTAACGTTCAGTTAGTAGGACGGGAAAAATCAAATTATCAATATAATAAAGAGAAGAACAATTCTTTTGGTGTACACAAAAACAAATTATTGAAATAGTATACATTGACAAAAGAGGCAGATGATACCAAAGGGATATTTAAAATTCAGTAGTCGCAGAATAACTGATAACGCCATGGCAAAAATCGAAAACGACGAAAAAACTAAAGATAAAGCAACCCCTCCCCCCAAAAAAAATCCAATTACCAATTAAAACATGCATACTTTTACATATCCGAATGTTATCAGTAGGCGTCTTTGAGAAATAATTGGTTTTAATAGAAATGAGCAGGATATTGACGAACGACTTATCTCGTGACCAGGATATTGACGAACGAACTTATCTCGACGAACGAACGTAATAGGAGCGGTAGTTGTATGTTTACAAACGTACTTAAAACTTTAAAGATGTTACCTAATGTTATCAAAAGGCAAAACACGTACATCTTAAAGCAAATGAATTACAGATACCTTAAACTGTTCAAGGCAATTAATTGTTACTCTTTCAACTAATGTCTGAAGGTAGCACATAATTGCTGACATAAACACAGAAGATAAAATAATCCAAATTCATATTGATCTTAGAAATGTCTTGAAGGTGAGTTAAATTAATAATCTTGTTACAAAAGACCGTGTGTTTTAAATATGAAATTCAGAATAAAAAAGGAATAGATCATTGCTAAAAAGATTACCACAAATGTTTAATAAAGTAACAATTAATGGCATATGAGTTGTGTTTAAAGTGTATTTGTTACACAGATAAACGTTATTGTGAGCTAAATATTACAGCAAATACAATACAATACAGACAAAATTCAGTCAACACTTATGTAAAAAAAAAAGACTTTCACCTTATTTGTGAATATGTGATGTCAGTGTACCTTTGTATTTAAATGAGAAAATAGTTACATAATGATGTTTGGGTATTTTTCTTGTAAGCGACACCCGACAACAAGGGAAACAGATTCGTCTTTCCTGTGGGATCAATTGTTATTGTATCAACATACAAGTCTCAGAATGTCACCGTCAATAATTATTGTGAATCATATGCATCTGACTTCAACGTTTCCATCGATAACACGGTTGTTAAATTTGACATTGTTCCACACCCGCCGTTGAAAAGGTCTATACAGCAGTACTATGGAGGAGCAAGTCTACAGGCAGACAACGATATTGTCGTTTTTTATAGAACAATCCGATCGTTTATTCCAACTGTAGTCATGCCGTTAGATGTCACAGGAACACAATATGTTATAGTTTTTGCAAATACAAGTCATCACATTACAATAATGGGAATAGGAAAAGCTACAACCGTGAACCTAACATTTCCAGAATGCCCGGGAAACTGTTCTTTACCTGATTGCGCCACAAAAGATGTAAGTTTTAAATTGCCGAACAACTTGGAATGTAAACACATAAGTTATTCATGCCACGTGGACTTAACAGGATCCATGATTACCAGTGACTTTCCAGTATCAGTAATGGTGCACACTGCTTATCAAACTTTGCAGTTGCCACCTATAAACACTTGGGGACGTAAATTTATCGTCGCATCGTTGCCTAATACGTTTTTACGTAACTTTAGTTTAAAAATGGTTTCAAAGGAAGATGATACTAATATGACCATACAGTGTTATAGATCAAACGCAACAATAGAAAAATATGACATATATTTCAACGAAAGCGGAGAACATGTAGTACAATGTATTAGTACAGCAAGTAATTGTTTAATGCAATCAAATAAACCAGTTTTACCTGTACATATTACGACAGATAGTGAAGAAGCTATGTTCTTCATTCCACCTGTAGAACAATATTCCTCTGACTATTTGCTACCTGCAGAACTATGTAGAGGCGATAGCCTTAACAGATCTCTTATCATAATTAGTGCGACCAACCATACTAATGGTATAAGAATGGATGGCTTGCCTATTGCTGTTAATATTTTCCAAAGACAGCAGATAGGCCAAACAGGGTACACCAGGCTGTTTGTTAATCTTGGTGCGCCAAAATTACATCTTTTAGACCACACTGAGCCAAATATTGTATTCGGAGTGTTCCTTATCTGTTCAACACAAACTGCAAACTACGTTATTCCGCTTGGAATGAGAATGGCGCCAATAGCTGAGGTAATTTATAAAGGAAGAAGTTTGAAAATGAGTTTGATCTTAAAAGATGTTACGACAAACATTTCTTCAAAATGTTGGATAAATAAGCTCCATTCTATAAGTATATTGCTTAGTTTAAAAAAATATATGTCTATCTAACTTATTTTGGTTAGGAAATGAAAAGTGGCAGTCTACTTTCTTAATTTCTTAATTTCTAAGCTTTGATTTTTCATTATTATCTTGTTATTAAGGAATGACTGTAAAATTTTTTCTGTCTATGAAGAAATAACCTAAAAAATGTGGAGCACACAGAATAACCCGCGTAGCGTGTTATTTAAAAATGTACACCATATTTTTGAGGTTATTTCGAATAGACAGAAAAAATATTACAGACATTCCTTATAATTTAATTCTAAATTCCATTTTAAAGGAGTAAATCATGAAAAAACGTTGATGACGTCACGGTCACATGCCAAAATTATGAGCTGATAGACACAAAACTTTCAGCCAACTAGAAGACGTGTTACATCCAAAATTAAATTATTTTGAAAATAAATAAAACTTTTTCAAGTTGTACCCTAAAAATTGCTGTAATGAAAACTATTACTAGTACTTTATTTTAGAAATGTGAATCAACTTTAAGTATTCCTGGCGACGGTTTAGACAACGATTGTGATGACCTTATTGACGAGGATATCTGTGATATAAACTCTACAGGTAAATAACACTCGATTTATAATTAGATAAGAACACAAACGAGATAAGCCAAAACAAGTTTAAGAAACAACTGAAATAACTGCTGAAATTAATAGCTAAAAGTATGAAATCCAAGTGCAATGTGAAGTCTGATCGTAAGCTTTTTAATAGACATTTTCGAAAACTTATCGATATTGAAGCTTACACCTATGCCTAGGACGACATGTAACCTTTTTATGAAGGAGTCATCTCAAGGTGTACAATCAGCACAGGTATTTATAGAATATTTATCTAATTTACATTTTAAATACTCTATAAAAAATTATTTTCAATGATTTAATTTATTTGCTCAGTTTAGAAGCTGAGAATTGACCGATCTTCGTATTAATTTGTAAAAAAAAGGAGGATGCTCTGTGTGAACCATCGTCGCTAGCCAAGGGTTACGATCCAGTCCCCTCCTCTCCACCCTTGGCAGATTAAGCCTTCATTTGTGATTACAATGCTACGCCATATAGCGGTAGATAAAAGTCACGCCCATTCCGACTACATCATTCTTGACCAATGGCAGCACTTGAACTCTCTTCAGTATGGAGGTGTAAAAATGGTTGTGTCTAGTGTTTACAAATTTCGTGAAGCAAGAACCGAAAATATACGTTGACATTCCAACATTTGCGTTAGAAACATACTCAGGAACTTCAATTAGTTGATTAAGAACTTTAAAATTGCCACTAAATATCGTCCTATGTTTTGGGGGTAAAGACTTGTTGCACAATCATCACGTGGCAATTGTTTATTTACATTTTCTACATTTACTAGTGATCATCTTAAAGGCGATTTTTGATTGGATGCAGCCAGTTACAACTGCGACCAATGGAAATCATTACCTCGTGGATCCGAACTTCTATCTCAATCCGCCAAGGGTGGAGAGGAGGGGACTGGATCGTAACCTTTGGCAAGCGAAGATATGTGTGAACTAGTAGAACTTGGAACAGAAGTTCAGATTTTACTTCGTTAACATTATGTCCCCATTACGCCGACTCAATCGTGAACATTGAAGCCATTGTATGGATGACGCACTGTCAATTTAGCTCTTGAAATCCAATTAATTTAACCACATGACAGTTGTATTTAAAAGACGAATGTATCTTCTAGCTATAAAGCATCAATTAATGTACTTTAAGGCCTGTTGTCAACAAAAATCTTTTGTCTGATTAGTTGTCAGGGGGAATTCTGAAAGTTAAAAAAACACTAAAAAAATTCTATTTAAGTTTTTTGTGGAATAGATGGACAGGAAGTTGAAGAACAATTATCCTAGGTAACACACACAACAAGGATTTTTTTTAAAGCTATGCCGTTTAAAGACTCACTTTTAAGTCAAGGGCTTTTAGTAAAAAATCAAGGGTGTTGTTAGTGAATCGTTCGACGTTTTTTTTTTATACATTTCATTAATAAAATAAACAATATGTCGAAATTTTTCACTGAAAAATGAGTGAACGACGGTAAAACAAAAAAAAACAAGTAAGAAATAAACATCCAGTTTAACATTTGAAGTAGCACGAACCTTTTCTTTTGTTATTCAAACACATATACTCTGTGTTTATGACACATTAGAAAGGTATGTTACTTGACCCATATATTTCATAAGATTATTTCCGATTTTTATTATTTTACCACAAAAATTTACATGAAATGCAACTGAATGCTTTAAACAGATCAATCAGTATTATTCGACAATTAAAAGAAAACAGTTGGAAATATCACAAATTCATCACTAAAATAATTCCAAAACTAACGAGAACACTTGGTGCTTCTGTCACGACATAGAAGTTCCTTCATAATATAAGTTCCAAATAGAAAAAGTATTTTGGAATATTATTTCCACTGTAATAAATATTACACTATATGTTCCTAATGGAATAAATGGTATAGAATATTTGTTCCAACGGGAACAGATATTATGACATTGTTTATAACAAAGTTTCTAGACTAAGTGGAACATCTGTTAGGCAGAGCAAATATACGTTGACACTTCTAGCCCAGATTCCGAATAAAAAAATACGTAAACCGACTACAGAATAATGAATTAATTTTTGTTTTACCTCTGCTGAGTCTAACCAAGTTTTACGAGGTGATTCATTCAGTATATTTTGACATTTTGATATGGTCCCTCTATTTTTTTAGTCAGTGTAGGTAACAATCAATGTCGGTATAAGTGTCCGTGTAGATGACTTTTCGAAAAGGTCTATTGATATTACTTTTAGATACCCTTTATATATAAATTTTTAATGATTGTGTTGATCATGTATGTATAAAATAGCAACTAACCAGTTACTTACGAAGTTATATAGACATTTCTGTATGTTTTTGTATTGCAGATAATTTTTACAATGAAACTGATTGTGCCGCCACATCTCGAGGTATGTGATTATATATTGATATAAATATAATGGCAATGGATGAACGTAAGCGCACGTGAAGTACAATTTCCGACAACATGACTAGTTTGTCTCGAAAGATCCCTAATATGTTTATTTAAAAACTATCCTACCGAATGTTTCTATAATTGGAAGATTAATAGGATTTTGTAAAGCATTCGCCCTTTACAGATCTGAAATGGGGAATCTCTAACCCCTACGTTTCTTTTCATAATTTTATTACATATAGTTGAAAATCTTATAAAATCCTTGTTATTTATTAATTCATTTTGAAAGAAAAGGTGTCAATGTGCACTGCATTAAAAGTTTGAGAGAATCATTCCTTTCCAAATTTTCAATAGCTTATATATAAAACATGGACACTGACCGTTCATTTTTTTTCCTGCTTTTTTAGTTCCATTATTTATATACTATCAATTGACAGCAGTCTTTTAAAAAAGTTAATGATTTTGAAACAGAACAGCGAACATCTTTAGAATTGAATTCATGCCAGCAAGAGAGCACTTTAGAACGAAAAAACAATATGATTACTTTAAGGGACCGACATCATCTATGAACTTTAAGATTATTCTGATAACTGGGTTGCATATTTAAACGTTAGTGAATACAATGGCATTAATTTAACAGTGTTTGGTGTCTTCTTTTGGAAGTTTTAAAAACTATGTGAAATTTCAATAACGTTAATTCGTATTTTGACTACTTTTTATTTCTTCTCTTGTAAAAAGAAAAATATAAGAATCGTGATTTTTAAGGTTTTTAAACATTACATTTATAGAATATATCTTTTTCTAATCCTCTTGAACTCTTTATCCTTTTTTTAAGAAATGATTCCTTGTCTCAAATATACAGACACCAATGGAGTTGTATGGAAGACTACATTGCCTAATAATTATGACTATCAAACTTGTGGAAAGGGAATAACAGGTAAAGTGGCATGTTATTTCCAAACTTGAATATTGACCGTATTTAATGCCTCATTGCAGACATATGTCTTGTTAGAACATGCATTTAAGGGCCTTTTTGACGGCATGATAAGGGTAAAGGCCTCGTTCCTTTTGGAGTTTAGACGATTCCCTCAGAACTTTTGTTGCCTCGATTTGTTTCTTTTTAAGTACCAATCTGCCTAAGAAGATTGGCAGTGGTGAAAACATGACAAATAAAAACCCGCTCAGCTTAACTTTGATTTAAGTTCAGAATGTATAATGGTGCATGAATATAACATTCGTTTCCTTTCCCTGTTCTTGTAATGCAAGATATAATTTGGTTGAAATGCACTAGAAATTAACAATCAAGGGGAAATTAACTCCGTAATTTGCTATCATTCTAACCAAAACTTATCTAGACATTTCTCGAATTGACAGACACGCAGAAACGAAAGACCTACCATTTCTAACTCAGGATGAGGGTACCTTCGAAATTGGATAGTTAGGTCAGTGGCTTTTTTTTTCGGCCATGTTTTGAAATTTTTCTAAATTGCCTGATTCTTACAAAGACTAGCACTTAATGGGCTAGCGAGATTTGAAAATCGGTAGACTACTGTCGAATTAATTTTTGGCAGTATTTTATTTGTACACTGCTTTTTTTATTTTCTTTAAAATAACTGTTCATCTAGCAAGCTTTGTCTTAATCATAGGAACATACATGTTTTATTGCTATTCATTTACTGTTGACTTAAACGTCAAGTTGATATCCTATCAAGCTCTGAATTGCATTACTATGGAACGCCGTAGCTGTCTTATGTGTGAAATTTTATGCTATGATGATACTTTGTTATTACATGCTGATACTTTATCATTATATGCTATTACTTTGTCATTATGATACTTTGTCATGCTGATACTTTGTCATGATATTCTGATACTTTGTCATTATGATACTTTGTCATTATGATACTTTGTCATTATGATACTTTGTTATTATGATACTTTGTCATTATGATACTTTGTCATGCTGATACTTTGTCATTATATTCTGATACTTTGTCATTATGATACTTTGTCATTATGATATTTTGTCATTATGATACTTTGTCATTATGATACTTTGTTATTATATGTTGATACATTATTGGTATTAATGATTTCAGTAGACTGGTGATGTTTCTAAAATGTGCCGACAACAACACACCCAAGATCGTTTCAGACTGTAACTTGTCTAGTGTTGCTAATTACGGTATTCCTCTTAGAGTAAGATCTGAGTAAGGACTAGAAAAAGTGTCTTTTGCAGACTATATGTTTTACAAAAGGGGAGAAGGGGGCAAAAGTACCCATAACTAAATGATAGAAAGACTTTGGAGAGACATTTTTGAAGACTTTCTGTGTTATTTTTACAATCTGTTTTGTTCATATGGAAGATGAAGGTATTATAGACTCATTAAATTGAAAACACTCAGATATGTTCCTAATGTCGTAACTACAATCCCGTCCCCTTTTCCCGAAAGGGGACCTTCCGAATTAAATTTATTACCGGGTTTGTTCTAACATGAGCAACATGACGGATGCCACATGTGGAGCAGGATCTGCTTAACCTTCTGGAGCATCTGATATCACCCCCAGTTTTTTGGTGGGGTTCGTATTGCTCAGTCTTTAGTTTTCTATGTTGTGTTTTGTGTACTATTGTTTGTCTGTTTGTCTTTGTCTTTTTCAACTGGCATTGTCAGTTTATTTTCGACTTACGAGTTTGAATGTCACTCTGGTATCCTTCAACTCTATTTTAGCAGCTCTACATTACATTTATTTGGACGAAATAAACAGGAGGCTACAATTTTGGGCAGTAGCATGGTCAAGTCAAATAAGCGGAACAGAAAACTCATCTCCTCTGAACTTGTTGACAACTGGCGAATTGCAGAACACTTTATAAATTTCCCTCAATCAAACAGATTTGCAAGATTATGGTGTTGAATGATATGTTTACACCACCGCTGAAGATGGAGACAGACCAATATTCGAGCCTCTTACACAAATGCTTGAGATCAATGCAGACAAACATTATTGAAGAATTAATTAGAACCAATACTGATTTTGGAATTAATGATTATCAAAGGTTTTTAGAGATCATAAATAGAACCTAGGTTTTCCTTTTATAATTACATTTGTTTTAGTATTAAAAATGGCTAAACTGCAGTTATGATTTCAGTTGCCACTTACAGTCAATTCTTTCTGAAACTAGTGTATGGGCCTCGGTGACCAAGTGGTTTAAGAAGTTGAACTATTGTATCACTTGCATGTCAACACTGATGTTGTCGGTTCGAATCCCGCACTAGGCAGGTACACTCGACTCCAATCTTAATAGGCTAGGATTGCCAGTTTTCCTACCGAAGGTCGGTGGTTCACTCCGAGCACATCGACTTCCTCCAACAATATAAACTGGCCGACACGAAATATAATGACACACCCCATGCCCATGATGCAACTGCATACCAAGTTTGGGTACCTAAGTTTTAAAGTGCAAAAGATATGAGCTGGACACGAATTGGATAAGGTTTTATTTTCATAATGGTCAAATGTCTCAATTAAATACATAATGACCGGACTTTATTATGTGACACACCCCTCGCTTGAAACCAAAGTAGAACATGACCAACACTTTATTGACTTTTACTAAGATTTAAAAAAAAAAAATTCGAACTAGTCATTGGGAGATTCGAAACGTCTGTTTGCCCCCACATGACATGTAAGATTCACATTTTTTCCCCTTATAGTGAAGGCCAAAGTGACAAAATCGATTGGTCTTAAAACAAAGCTGTTCATGTGGACCCTTTGGCTAAAATGGCTGCGTTTTCACCTCAAAATTTACTCTGAGTACAGATAAACCTGTGCATCTGGAAAAGTTTTAAGGCATAGCATGTCTTAGATAAATAAAATTCAAATGCATTGTATGTTTTAGAAAATTTAAACTTAACTGGATTTTGCAGTGCATTTTTTTTGGTTCCTGCAGAAGATGATAAATTTAACAAATAGTTGAGTTTCACTTGATATGGTCCACTCAGGTACACAGTTTAAATCACCAATTGTTGTCAGGTATCTATTGTCCATCTATTGTCCATGTTAATCAATAACTTTCACTTCAATTATTACCTGTGGGAAAGATCTCTAACCTCTTTCACAACTTAGTTTATTTTGGCACCTTCTGGAGGAATGAAAAAAAGTGCACTGCAAAATCCGGTTAATTTTTTAATTTTCTAAAACATAAAATATTTTTGAATTTTATTTATCTAGGGCATGCTATGCCTTAAAAAGTTTCCAGATACACAGGTTTGTCTGTACTCAGAGTAAATTATGAGCTGAAAATGCAGCCATTTTAGCCAAAGGGTCCACATGAACCTTAACGTTATTGTGTAGGGTATAAAATATTTTTTAAAAAGACTCTTTTGCCATAACATTTTGCCCAAACTGTACACAAGTTTCAAATTTATTGATTGATTAATTGATGTTTAAACGCCACTGTCAACACTATTGTGCTATTTCGTAGCGGTCAGTTTATATTAGGTGGAGGAAGCCGGAGTGCCAGGAGTGAACCACCGATCTTCGGTAGGAAAACTGACAATCTTAGTCAATTAAGATTGGAGTCGAGAGCACCTGCCTAGTGCGGGATTCGAACCGAAAACATCAGTGTTGACAGGCTAGTGATACAGTAGTTCAACTACTTAGACCACTCGGTCACATGGCCCCTACACTAGTTTCAGAAAGAATTGACTGTAAGTGGCAGCTGAAATCATAACTACAGTTTAACCATTTATAATACTAAAACAAATATAATAATAAAAGGAAAACCTAGGTTCTATTTATGATCTCTAAAAACCTTTGATAATTATTAATTTAAAATTAGTATTGGTTCTAAATAATTCTTCAATAATGTCTATCTGCACCTTTCTCAAACATTTGTGTAAGGGGCTCGAATAATGCTATGTCTGCATCTTCAGCGGTGGTGTAAATATATCATTCAACACCATGATCTTGCAAATCTGTTTGATTGGGGGAAATTTATAAAGTTTTCTGCAATTGGCCAGACGTCCACAAGTTCAGAGGAGATGAGTTTACTATTCCGATTATGTGACTAGACCAAGCTTCTGCCCAAAATTGTAGCCTCCTGTTTATTTCGTCCAAATAAAAGGTAATGTAGGGCTGCAAAGTGTTTTCAATTGAATGGGTCTATAATACCTTCATCTTCCATATGAAAAAAACAGATTGTAAAAATAACACAGAACGTCTTCAACAAATTCTCTCCAAAGTTTTTTTATTCTTTGGTTGTGGGTACTTTTGCCTCCTTTGCCCATATTGAAAAACATTTAGTCTGCAAAAGACACTTTTTCTAGTCCTTACTCAGATCTTACTTTAAGAGGAATACCGTAAGTATGCACACCAGACAAGTTACAGTCTAAAACGATCTTGGATGTGTTGTTGTCGACAAATTTCAGAAACATTACCAGTCTACTAAAACCATCAATACCAACAATGTATCAGCATATAATAACAAAGAATCATAATAACAAAGTATCATAATGACACAGTATCAGCATATAATGACAAAGTATCAGCATATCATGACAAAGTATCCGCATATAATGACAAAGTATCAGCATATAATAACAAAGTATCATAATAACAAAGTATCATAATGACACAGTATCAGCATATAATGACAAAGTATCAGCATATCATGACAAAGTATCAGCATATAATGATAAAGTATCAGCATATAATAACAAAGTATCATAATGACAAAGTATCATAATGACACAGTATCAGCATATAATGACAAAGTATCAGCATATCATGACAAAGTATCCGCATATAATGATAAAGTATCAGCATATAATGACAAAGTATCAGCATATAATAACTAAGTATCATAATGACAAAGTATCATAATGACAAAGTATCATAATGACAAAGTATCAGCATATAATGATAAAGTATCAGCATATAATAACAAAGTATCATTACAGCATAAAATTTAACACATAAGACAGCTATGGCGTTCCATACATTTCCTCTTTCACTTGCTTTTTGTATTTATCGTAAGCGTCATAACATGAACTTGTTCTAGATGGGACTTTCACTTTTAAATTGCAGTATTTTACTGTCGAAAGTTGAAGTCAGTACTACCACTGAATTAAGAAAAAAAGCATAGCTATGACAGATCTAAGCAAAGTTCTTGGGTTATTCCGCCTTCCAAGAAAAATAATTTCCAACACAATAGACGATATAGTTAACTTTGTTAAAAAAACAATGTTTGAAAAAGTGCAAGTAACATTTTGACGTCTAATATATACGAAACACTAGTTTCTCTTTTCCTATGGTCCTAAGGTAATTTAATTCACTTGTGCTTAAAATGATGCTTAATTCTAATTTATTTTGTATGAACTTGTGCGAAACATTTTTGATATACATTATTGCTTTTTATAAAAAAACATCGGTAATGACAGTACATACATCTGTCATTCTACATACTTTATATGATGATACAATCATTCTCTCTTTTTCATCGAGTAAATGCTACGATTGATACACCTTTTTACAATGACGATACTTCTACTTTAGGCATTAATATAGTCGAATTATTTACCCTCATATCAATATAATTTAATATGATTATTGGTGAAACCTAAAAAATGACCAAAGTAATGAGTTAACAACAGAAAGTTTTTATGATTTAGCTGATCTCAGCATATGATTGAGTAGCAATAAAAAAAATATTGATAATTGGGTCACAGAAATGTACAATGGAGTCGGTTTGTAAAAAATATAATCAAATTTATTTTAAAGGGAATACATCGAATTTTTGTGAACTGAAAGAACGACGATACGGTGTTTGGAAGGGACCAGATACTTCATTATGTGTCAGTGAATCACTCAGTGTCATTGCCGTCAAGGTACCAGTACCATTAATGATTGTTATTATGGATAGAATATGGGAGGGCAATTTCCCTCAGAACCTTAAATTTGCGTCATTTCTATTGAGTAGTCTTCACATATTTCTTTACTTTTTGCTATCAGCATGAATAAGAACAAAATCTGAAGAACAATCTGTCCATTGGCACTACGCGTAACAAATATATACAAACAGAACAATAACAAAATAGGACACAAACAGACATAAGGAAATGAGAACTGCAGACACCATGAGAATAAGACAAAGCGACTATATGAATAAAATTAACGGTACCAATTTTTCTGCACCAGATGCGCATTTCGACAATAAATGTCTCTTCTGTGATGCTCGAGGCCAAAGCGTAGATGACTTTTACCGATCAAGACAATCATACTGTGATGACCTTTGACCCATGATATTATTACTCTTGGTAACTTTCTTTAAATTAAATTTAAACGTTTATATATAGATATATGTAACGTACAACAATCATTTCTAAAGTTATTTTCCATTGGTACACTAGAGACCAACCCATTTTAAAGGCAAACATCAAAATGTTTAAAATTTAGATGGAGAAAACAATGATTAAACTTTATGAGTAAGCGATATGTTTCAGTTACATCTAACCTTGAATGGCACAAGCAATGTCACGTTAGCAGACATTCTAAATGAAACACTGAGAGTTACTAATAAGCTGATATCAAAAGACAACTTCAATGCAGGAAATTTAAAGTCCGTTATAGATAGTCTAGATCTAGCAGTGACCATAATTGAAGAAAGATCATCGCTAGGAACAACAAAACGTGAAAGAGAAGTACTTCATTTATCAAAAATCATTGAATAGATATAAGAAGATGTGGCATGAGTGCCAATGAGACAACTCTACATCCAAGTCACAATTTGTAAAAGTAAACCATTATAGGTCAAAGTACGGCCTTCAACACGGATCCTTGGCTCACACCGAATAGCAAGCTATAAAGGGCCCCAAAAATGACTAGTGTAAAACCATTAAAACAGGAAAACCAACGGTCTAATCTATATAAAAAACGAGAAACACTTATGAAACACATCAACAAACGACAACCACTGACCAACAAGTTCCTGACATAGGACAGGTGCAAACAAATGCAGCGGGTTTAAACGTTTTAACAGGCGCCAACCTTCACCCTAACCTGAAATAATAGTGTAACATCACAACATAGATAGACCTGGATTTATTTATTCGTCTATTTTACGTCGAAATTATAACATCATCAAAATTAAAAACTGCTTGTAGTAAACACATGATTCTATAAAAACAAACAACACAAAACATTTGTCTTTATGAATTTGTTTGAATATATGAAATCTATTAGAATCACATATGGATACTAAAAATCAAAAGAGTACCTTCTAATTTGATATTGTTCTGCAATGAAAATAGAAACTCAAAGTTTTACTGAAACGCCTTACGCATATAGTAAAATCATCTGAAAGATACAATGCGTATAATTTAGAACACCAAACGCGTATTTTCTCTACACAAGACTAAGCATAAGTTAAAACATATCTTTTAAAACTTTTGGATATTCCTCATAAGATTCAGCATAAGTGAAAACGTATTCCATTTAACATTTGGTCAATCAGAGTTTTTATAAAAAGAGGGACGAAAGATACCAGAGGGACAGTCAAACTCATAGATCGAAAACAAACTGACAACGTCATGGCTAAAAATAAAAAGACAAACAGACAAATAATAGTACAGATGACACAACATAGAAAACTAAAGACTAAGCAACACGAACCCCACCAAAAACTGGGGGTGATCTCAGGTGCTCCGGAAGGGTAAGCAGATCCTGCTCCACATGTGGCACCCGTCGTGTTGCTTATGTTATTACAAATCCGGTAAATAGTCTAATTCGGTAAGTCACATTCGTGAAAAGGGAAGGGTATTGTAGTTACGACATAAGGAACATATCCGATATCATCTGTAAAACGGTTATTCCATAACGGTCAACCAACTCGTGATGGCGTCCGTAAAATTTACGAAGGGATGACTTCAACTTCACCATTTGAAACTCTTGGTTTAATAGCTTCCTTGTGAGCAGCAATCCTCTATCAAGGAAATCATGATAGGAAACACAAGCCCGGGAATATCGTATCAATTGGGAGATATATACTCCGTATGCAGGCGCTGCTGGAATGTTGCTACATAGAAATGGAAAGTTCACAATTGGGAAGCTGAAATCATCTCTTTTGTCGTAAAGTTTTGTTTTCAACCGACCCTCATTGTCAATTTCTAGATGTAAGTCAAGATATGAGGCAGACTTAACTGTATCTGTAGTATCCTTTATCTCTAGTTCGATGGGATAGATTCGTTCAACATAGTCACCAAATTTTGTATTATTTAGTGAGAGAACATCATCTATATAGCGGAACGTAGAGTTAAAGGATATTGCTAACTTCTTATCTCTCTTCCTAAGAAGCTCCTGTATGAAGTCAGCCTCATAATAATAAAGAAACAAGTCGGCAAGAAGAGGGGCACAATTGGTTCCCATTGGAATTCCGACAGTCTGTTGAAAAACACGTCCTCCAAACGTAACAAATATGTTGTCAATCAAGAAATCAAGCATCTTGATAATGTCAGTTTCAGAGAATTTTTTGTTTGAATCAGAGTGATTCTTTACAAAGTAGAATTTATCCCTCCCCAAGACAAGATACTTGTATCTACGTTCGCTATTCTTTTTAATGAAACAAAGTAATACCAACTCTTTCAATTTGTCTTTTAGTTTGGAATGGGGAATACTTGTGTAAAGTGTAGAAAAGTCAAATGTTTTAATACTATTGCAAGATGAGAGAGTCTTAGATTGTATGTACTCTAAAAGATCTTTGGAATTTTTTAGTATCCACATCTGATTCACTCCACCTCTAGAATAGGCAGTTTCACAATAACTTTGGAGCCCGGCTTTGATTGCTGATAAAATAGATGTTAATAATTTAGAAAGAGGTTTCGTGGAGCACTTGGAAGACCCAGCAATATACCGTTGTTTGTAAGGACACTTATGTAGTTTAGGTATCCAATACAGTGATGGAAGATCCAGTTCTTCGTCTTTGGTTGAAATTCCAAAGGAACATAGAACAGACCTATGATTATCTAGGATTTCCTCCTTGGTAAGTGTCGTGAGGGTATATGTTGAGTTTCCAAGTGAATTGTCAATACCTAATTCATTTATCAAGCAGTTTATGTAATGATATTTACACACAAAAACGATGTTGTTTGGGGCTTTATCTGCGGGGACAACAACATATTTGTCATGGAGGTAGGACAAGTGTTTTGCAACATTTGGGTCTTTAAAAATTGATGTAGCGTGGGTATTGATATGCCCATTTAGTTTCTTAATTCGGATTTGTATAAAGATGGACGCATAATGATAATTTCAGAACTTCATATCAGTTTTGAATAGATTGCTATCAAGCGTCAACGAGGAAAGCTGGAGAACATTAAATCAGAAAGTGAGTATCATTAATCAGATTTTGTGTAAGAAGGTTTATAATATCATAATAAATGACGAAAATAATGGAAGTATTAAATAAAACACTTCCCAATAGTTCATCTATAGCAAATAAACTATATATAAACAAAATTAAAAAAAGAAGAAAAAGAACTCACAGATGCCCTGCAATTATTCTACCATATTCGCTTACGTTACGTTAGAAAGTCCTTATGAAATTTTGAATACCTGAAACCGGGAGAGAAAGATAGAACATTTTTAGAATGTTATATGCTGTATTTTGCCATCTCAACTTCATAAAAATGAGAAAACAAATTCCGTTATGAAATCTTTATGAAAGGAAGATTTATTATTGTTGAGACACACCGTATCATTTGTTCCTTTTTTATAAATATATATATGTGCCTTTTACATATGATAAATGTGTTCATGGCCTCAAATAAGCGGCTTTTTAGAGTTTTTTGTGTGTTTTGTTAAATCTTTACCGATTTCTATATAAATTAGAAATTGTCTTCCCTTTCCTATTTTAAACTACTAGTAACACTAAAAATGGTCATCCGCATAATTGCATGATATGGATTGTTGGGAAATTCAGTCTTCTCAATCAATGTTAAGTTAACTATGTTATAGCATCTATCAGACTACAAACAGAATTATTCTACTTGTGAAGTATTCGGTAACTTTATTTTTGTTTAGATAGGAGTGTCACTTTAAACCCATATGTTGTCTTAGAAATAAGAAGATGTGGTATGAGTGCCAATAAGACAACTCTCCATCCAAGTCAAAATGTGTAAAAAGTAAACCATTATAGGTCGAAGTACGGCCTTCAACACGGAGCATTGGCTCACACCGAACAGCAAGCTATAAAGGGCCCCAAAACTACTAGTGTAAAACAATCCAATCAGGAAAACCAACGGTCTAATCTATAAAAAAAAACGACATTCCCGGCTAGGATACAATTTTTACTTTATTTCAGATAAAAACAACTAATCATGTTTCGACCATAATGAATGTTGTTTCACGATTCGGATTCCAAGTGCACGTAAATCAACTGGAAGATGTTATACTTGTTCGAGAAAATATAGGCAAGATGAAAATGTAGTTCTAAGAATAATCAAGCTTTATCTTGGAGAACAATAAACTTAACTACACATTAAATATAAATGAAATTAATTATGTTGGGTTAAGGACTATTGGAATGTTCATGAAAAATTAAGGTTGCATGCATTTTTTTAATTTTTATTCCTTAAAAATTTGCAGTTGAAAAATGTTTGATTGTTTCGTTAAGTTTTTCAATCTAAGTACAATTAATGATTGGATAGACTTAAATGAATAATTATTTTCTATCTTTTATAGTCTTTGAAGCTAAACAAGCTTTTATTGATGACGTGATTTTCCCGAATGTGACTGTTCTATCAAGCACCTATCAACAGACGACGAATTCTGTAAACGCTATGTTATTTCTTAGTAAGGATACTATAAAGAATAACTTAAATGGTAAGAAAGATAACCATACAATTATGAAAAAAAGAAAGAAGATGAGGTTTCACATCGAAAATAAAGAGAATATTCGAATACAGATATTATTTTGTATGAAAAGAAGATATAGTATCTTCATTCCAGATGTATCTAAACCTTTTTTCTGTACTTTGAGATGCATTTAAACTCCATATCATTTAATGTATTATTTATTTCTGGATATGCATGAGCTACACGATGGGTTCCACATTTGGAACAGGAATTTCTCACCATTCCGGAGCACCTAAGGTCACCCCGGTTTTGTTGGAGTTTGTGTTTTTAAATCTTTAGTTTTCTAAATAATTTTGTGGTACTGTAAATTTAGAAGATCTGAAAGAAAAAGTCGCTCAGTCTACACATGGCCGACCAAGACGTCAAGGTAGCGTCGTTAATAACAGTTTACTCATTATCTATCGGATTGACAAATAATTCGGATACTTTAAATTCAGATCATCATCCTTATGTCAATGATACAGATATTTCTACTGGAATATTTACAATTCAGCTACACAATATTTTACTCTGAACTACTCCGACCAACATAGTAAAATTTCCAAATGTAAAACCAAAAAGTTCAAAACTTGTGAATTGCACAATTCCACATTCTCAACAACTTAACTACAAAAATGTTACTTCACTGGGAGTTACGATGGTCGGAGTTGAAAAACACGTAGTATGGTATACGGAATAAAATATATTCTTTGCAGGTTGGAATATGTTATGAAACAAAAGTACGGGTAGCAACGAATCTGCAGGCATAGTTCAGACATTATAAACAATGCAACTGACATAATTTATCAATATTTTTCACAGTCTGATCATTCAATCCCTTCTATTCCAGTTCGTATGATCGACAAAATAGGACTAACAATCTCCTACTTGCACTACTGGATAAACTATGACACTTTATCCACAGTTTAAGAACGATTTAGAAAAAATAGGGTTCATATTCATATCACACTAAAATTTTCTCGTCCTAAGTAAGCATTTAATCTGAACTGGTCGTTAATCATCCATCATCATCGTCATTGACTGCGAGTATTCCTAGATGGGTGCTTTGTATGTACCTTTTGTCTCTTTGTTAGATTTATGTTCTTCGTGCCGATCCCATAAAGTCAGTCATTTCCAATTAATTTTTATAGTTTGTTCTCATGTTGAGCAATTACACAACTGTCCTATATGACGGGATGGGGATCAAGAGCTCACAATCAAGTTAAACCCTTTAAATACTGTATGTACTTGTCCCAAGTCGGGAGCCTATAATTTAGTAGTATTAGATGTTTGCTGCCTGTCATATTTGTGTTCATTTATTGTTATGGCATTATTCATGGTGTTGATTTCTCGTTTGATTGTTTTTGTCATGTCCGGTCCTTTGATAGCATGCTATACGGTATCGGTTTTGCTTATTATTTTTTTTAATAAAACCTAAAGTTGCTTACATCCTCGTCATTTCGGTGGATATTACTGTCATTTGCAATTAGACCAATTATTATCTTCTTATTTTATAACGCGTGAAAATGACCTATATATCTTTATCAGGTTGTGGATACTATCTTTAAAGACCCCAATTATTGTTAAGCGCCTATCTTAATGACAAATATGTGATTGTCGGTGTAGACAAAACCTTAAACAATATCGTTTTTGTTTGTAAATCACATTATATGGATTACTTGGTGAACAAATTAGGTGTTGATAATTTACTGAGACACTCATCATTTACCTCAACGACCTTTACAGAGGAGGAAATCCTGAACAACCATACTTGTAAATTATAAGTTTAAGGATTTCTTTAACATAAATTTCTTAAAACCTTTATTAAATTCTTTTATAGATACAAAGTTTTGATTTGGAAGTTTGGTTGTACCTGTAGAAAACTTATAACTAACGGGATATTACATCCTTAATTTTACGGTGATGTTGTTTTTAGAGCCCGTAATTTTAAAATGACGCAATCTTAGCTTATCGATGCTTTGAATAAAATCATTTTCAAAGGTTATTAATTTTACATTGTAGTTATATCTTTGAATATTCTTTTCATCGGTACTTCAATTGATTTTCTTATCAAAGAATTAAAACATACCTAAATATGTATTGCTATATAGTTATAAATGCTAACGGTTCTATATCCTGTCAATCCTGTTATATGACGTCTTTAAACTAAATCCAGTGAATGTGTACTGTTTGAAATGTTGTTTCGGATACATACTTATATAAGTTGTTATTGGCTTTGAACTAACTTTCAGCTTTTTAAGTAGTCTCGAACTCAGATCGGTATTTTGCGTCTTAAGTGGTTTTGAAAGTTGTTTGTTTTACTTTGTATCGATCTGATAAGTCAAGCTCTTTTCAACTTATGCTTATAGCCTGTTCATATGCTGTGTTATTACACCATTGTCACTGGTTAGACGATTGTTGGGAGCCCGCAAGCATGTTTAACCCTGCAACATTATATTTGTGCCTGTCCAAGTAAGAAACCTGTAATTCAGCGTTGTCCTTTGTTGTCGTATATCATATTTGATTTTCGTTTATTGTTCTGTACACAGTTGGTTTTTGTGATTTACTGTCCCAAGTAAAGGAGAGGATTGGGCGCCCCTTAACATTTTTAACCCAGCTACATTCTATATGTGTCTGTTCCAAGTCAGGTGCCTGTAATTCATTTGTTTGCGTTTGTTTGTTAATGTATATTCGAGCGTCACTGATGAGTGTTTTGTAGACGAAACGCGCGTCTGGCGTACAAAGCTATAGGTCTGGTGTCTTTTTATGGGTTTGCTAATATTTGTTTCTTATTTGTTTTTTTGTTCTTCAATCAGGTTGGTATTTGTTTTCTAATTTGAATTGTTTAACATTTTTTTTTATGTCGGGGACTTTCATAGCTGGCTATGCGGTATGAGATTTGGTCATTGTTGAAGACCATACGGCGACCTACAGTTGCTTACATCTACCATATGGTCTCTGTTAGATAGTCGTCTTACTTGCAATCATACCGCATTTTTATGTAAGTCGGTTTGATGTTCCTAAAGAATTTCAATCAAAGAGCGCGATCTTCCTTCATTCTGATTGATACTAAAATTAGATAAGTGTCCACAAAAACGTTGTATTACTTGGTCCGCACTATTCGTCTCGAAACCTATTCCAAATTATTAATCTCTATCAGCAATCCAACTTTAGTTCCAGAGCAACTGTGACACAAGATACTAAAAAAACGAACGATCAGTTACAGTACATACAATCAATGTCCCTCTCCTCATGCAATAGTTTAAAAAGATTTAAATGTTGTATCCCTTACACTTGTATTCCTTTTTCTCAGCAAAGAGACAGATTGAACGAACTAGTTCAACGTTTATTCAAAAAACAAAATGGTCACTGCAGAAACGAATATCTTGTTTGAAAAAGGCACAAATCATACTTTAAAAAAGTGTACTGAAGCAGATATCATCAAAACTTTGGAGTTTTTTATTTTATTGACAGCATATTTAATAAATTTTGCGGACTTGTTTTCAACAGACAATCGGCATTGCTGTGGGAAGCAATTGTGTCCCTCTGCTTGCCGACTTTCCAAGTCAGGAGCCTGTGATTCATTAGTTGTCGGTTTTTTGCGGTACATAATATTTGTTTTTTCGTTTGTTGTTTTGTTAATTAATCAGGCCGTTAGTTTTCTCTTTTGAATTGATTTAAATTTTTCATTTCGGAGCCTTTTATAGCTTACCGTGCGGAATGGGTTTTGCTCATTGTTGAAGGCCGTACGGTGACCTATAGTTTTAAACTTCTACGTCAATTGGTCTCTGGTGGAGAGTTGTCTCGTTGATAATCATACCACATCTTCTGACTTATATATTGTTCTATTATTCTTATGAGACAGACTTCATACAGTAGCTTCTCGGTAACCATGCAAGGCAGCTGACTGAATTCTTTAACTTTACTTTCCTCTATATTCGTGATGTATTTTCATTGTCATCGCTCGCCCCACAGTTAACAGAATTTTACCATTTTTTTTTTGTGTTTAAAAATTATTTCTCGCAAAATCAAAAAGTCTTACAGAAAAAACATTTAAGTACACCTTCTTTCCACTAACTTTTGGGTATCGCATTCTCAAAGATTGATTTCGAAAAAGTATCAGTCGCTTAATTTTTGTACAAAAACAAATCTTCAATTTGAAGTGGCCAGACGTAAATATTTTATCTTCTCTGTAAATATAAGAATTAATCCTGTGTTTTTGAAAATTATTCATTCGAAGGCTAGTTATCATAACATTTTAGCAAGTAACGCTTCGGCGGTTCGTGCAAAATGTGAAAGTCACTTGATTGCATGTCGTAAAAAATCAATTTCTTTAAAATACAAAATTATGATAAAGAATGATGATAATTAAACAATTCATGAACTATTTCGTTTTTGTAAACATATTTATACCTATACATATTTTTGTTTATTTCAGGAAGTATTGATTACACAGCTGTCTACTATAGAACACTGGCGAAACTATTACCGTAATATATCTTACTTATATTGGAGAGTCACTTTGACATTATTGATTTTGGTCCTAAAATACATGAATTCAGTTCCATAACAAATCGGTCAATCGCACATAATCTTTTATTTAATTTATCTGAAGATAGACATTTATCGAGGTTGTCATTTGCTATTAATGGCAATGGTTATCCTAGTGTGTTTGTCAAACAGACCTTAAATCAGGCAGTTGGTATTTTTGTTTGAATGGTTTCAAATTTTGTCATGTCACGACTTTTCATAGATGACCATACGAAAAGGGTTTTCTAATTGTTGATATAATTCACTCATTTGGGCTATTTTAAATAGTTTTCTCGTTGGCATACTACATCTTCTTATTTAATATTAAGTAATGACGACTTTACCTGTTCCATTACTAAAACTCATGATTTACTATTCAAATAATAAATATGCCACATAAACGATCCAGAATTTCAATTAATTCGATTTAGGCCATTGTATAAAAATTGTGCCGATAC